TTGTCAATTGATTGTTCATTGCCTTATTGTCTTGGTTATAACATGCCCTAAAATGTTGACTAGATTTTGTAAGGGTTGATTTACATGTTATATTACATGGTTTTCTGAGGATGTATCTGAGCTTTCATTATGTACAATGGTACCTGTGCATTGTTTATGGGTGCTTTATATCAGTTTGAAGAAGTCCCATTTTGAGACTAATTTTGTCAAAGTCTTAAGACAAGTGTTGGGTCTTTAAAAATGTTTCTCTTCATCTATTTATGCAACGATATATTTTTTTAAAGATTTTTTTACATATGTGCTTTCTTGTTTTCTTCTATTTCAATATTTTTATCTGTGTTTCATATCAGGATAAATCTGTCCTCATAGACAATTGAAAATATGGCATCCTCCTCAGTTTCCAAGAATACATGCAATTGGTTACTTCTTTTTGCTTAAATGTTTATTAGACTGTTCCAAGCATGCCACTTGGACCTGATTGAGGATGTAGAGTATTATAAACTTACGTATCCATTTCTACATTTTCTTTATCAATTTTTAATTTTTTATGTGTTTCTTATTCTCCATATACATCAACATATATCATACTCTGACTCGGATGACTCTTATCAAAAACCTGGATTGGATTTTTCAGAAGACAATATTAATTTATCTAGGATTAACTTTATTTTTCTTCACAACAATTTTTTGAATATTTAAAGACTAAAAGCAAGCAAAAATATATGGGATATTAGAAGGGAATATGTAGTAATTATATCCAGATATCATAGGAAATACATAAACTGTTACACATCATACCTCAGTCACTAGGAGTGCATCATAGAAAAAAATCAAGGAATTATCTAATTTTATATCTTCCAAGTAGAATAATGAAAATTATGAATTCAAACCATATTCATTGATCAAAATTTAATGCATAATCATCAAATTTGAGAAAATTTAACTAAACAAAAAAATTGCAACAAAGCTAATTCATTATACAATAGGGCAATAAATGCAAGGACACACAAAAAATTAGAAAATATCTTCTACACAAAAATACTGATTGTTTCCTAGAGAGATAATGACAGCAATCTATGACACAAATGCATGGAGTTAGAAACAACATCAACCCAGTAGAAAAGAAACACAATATTTAAATCTATAAACTTCTATGTCTGACCTTTATAAATTGATCTTGACTGATACTTCCAACAATATAGACTAAATGGGAGTCTTTAGACCAAATTAGATGCACAGTTGATTCTGTGAAATATAAATTTAATTTCTTACTTTGTATATTTCTATTACAATATGATAATAAAAATACCAACAAAGTCAACAGAGAGATGCTCTATGGTTCATATATGAAAGTGAAAGCACTGATGAAGAACGAGAGGGAATTAAAAAAAAAAAAAGCATTTCAGTAAATTCAGTTGGCTGATTATTAAAATCATCCCACATACTGAATCATCTTCATCTTGAAGTGAGAAATATCCGCCCCACCACATACACACAGACACCCAGATATACACACATGGACACACACACAATTCCAGCAAATATATTTCTCATGGAAAGGAAAACACCATATACTTAGAACTTTTTACATCTACTCCTACTTACCTGTCCAACTCAGAATATTCACTCACCTTTGTTTGTTCTTTTTAATCTATCACCGTTCTCTAAACATTCTAATTTACTGTATGTTACTGTTACATGCTGTAGAGTTGGTTCTGACTCATAGCAACTCTGTATTGGGTTTCCAAGGAGTAGCTGGTGAATTTTAACTGCCAACATTGTGGTTTAAATCATCCTCGCAGTCCAGGACTTACCCCATAGCACCATTTAATTATTATGCTTAATATGCAACTCTTCTGCTCAAGGAGTGCATCATGCTTTATTATTTTATTGACTAAATTATTTCAGCACTTAAGTAGAACTTGATGAACTTATTTGTGCTAGTTTGCCCCTCTGGAGAGACACACTGAATATTGCATAAAGCCCATTATGTAACTTTTATTAATTATAAATTACAGTGATCTTTGAGAAAACATAGTACATAACTGTTGCAAAGTTCTATGCAAAGCATATTTTACATCTTTGTTCCTCAAACTATAGATCAAGGGATTGAGCATAGGGATAACTAGGGTGTAAAATATGGAAGCCACTTTATCAGTATCAAAGGAATGACTAGATTGGGGCTGCACATACATAAAGATTAAAGTCCCATAGAACACTACTACGACTGTCAGGTGAGATCCACAGGTGGAGAAGGCCTTGCGCCTACCTTCTGCAGAGTTCATCCTGAGAATGGCTACAAGAATGAGCATGTAGGAAACAAGAACAATTAGAAGAGATGAAATTAAATTAAATGCTGATAAGGCAAAAACTATTAATTCAATTTCATGTGTGTTTGAGCAAAGCAAAGATAACAAAGGTAGACTGTCACAGTAGAAGTGACTGATGACATTGTAGCCACAGAAGGTTGAGTTGAAAATCTTTATGGTGACCAGAAGAGAAACAAAGGTGCTGTAGAGATAGGGGATTGTCACCAACACGTGGCATACCCTTTGAGACATAATGATGGTGTAGAGCAGAGGGTTACAGATGGCCACATAGCGGTCATAGGACATGGCTGATAAAATGAAAAGTTCACTAATGATGAATAAAACAAAGCAAGTTAACTGTACAGCACAAAAATAATAGGAGATTGTATTTTCATCCACAACAAAATTCACCAACATTTTAGGTCCCACGGTTGTTGAATAACCAAGATCTGTTATAGCCAGGTGTCTGAGGAAAAAGTACATGGGTGTTTGTAGCTTGGAGTCCACCATGGTGAGGATGATCATGCCCAAGTTGCCCACCATTGAGATCATGTAGATGATGAGGAACAGCACGAACAATGGAGCCTGCAGCTCAGGGCGGTCTGTGATTCCCAATAGGATGAATTCATTCAGTATTGTTTGATTGTATTTGTCCATCTAGGTCTTTCAGGAAACCTATTCTGGATAGAGAAATCAGCAGAGTCAAGAGTTTTATATAATACCAACTGGTAGATTTTTAATATAAAAAGCAAGGATACTAGCAGAACTATATAAATTCAGACATTCCACAAACAAAGCACATATAAATTCAGACATTCCACAAACAAAGTACACTGACAGATATAGAGACAGAGTGAAAAGGAAACAGAGAGAGGGAGATTGTAAGCGAAAGAGATAACTAACTGGAAATCAATTGGGGACAATTAGCTCCACAGAAAGCATTTGTCAATGTCTGCGATAATTTGTTTATCATAGCTAGGAGAAGGTTACAATTGGAACCTAATATTTAGAAGGCTCAGATGTTGTTAACCATTCTTATGCAGCACAATGCCTTACAACAACAAATCTCCAACCCAAAATGTCAAAGGGTCAAAGTTAAGAAACCTTGAAATTGATATTGATATGCATATAAAAATATGAAACAAAAATTTTGTATGCTAAAAATTCTAGGTTTTAAGTATATTGATGTTTATTCAATTTTCTGTTTGTCATTTATTTATATATCAATTACATTATAATAATACTTATATGTTAATTATGTTATAAAAATGATAAAGCACAAATTCCCAAAATGTATGAAAATAGTTAATATACCTCACTAGGTCGGTGGTTTAAACTCACGAGTCACTCCTTGGAAATCCTACATGGTGTCAGTATGAGTCAAACCTGACTCCACAAAACATCTTAACAACACTGGAAAACTTAGTTCACAGAGAAACCTTAAGCAACAGGTTATATAGACAGATACAGCACATGTGTTAACAAAGATAATATAGAAGATCATAGTGTGGATTGTTTATCTTTACATAGGGGAAGTAGCAAGGAGATACATATATATAAGTATAGTCTCTGCTATACCTCTATTCTTGGTCATAGATTGGGATATTTTCATCTATACATGCACATCTGCCAAAGGATCAATTAACTTTCAGTGTTGGTAAAATGATAATCGAAGATTAAATAGTTCAGTGTGTTTATGGGACCCGGGAATAGCTCTTAGATGTCAGGTACACAGTGTTTTTGTTGTTGTTTATGATGACAGTGAATTGACTGAAAATGTACTTGAATTTGTGTAGTGTGTCTTAAATTCTCTTCTAGGGCTGTAGTGATGAATAGGTTGAGTACTATATTTTCCATATAACTGACCTCAACCCTTCCCTAAATCTTTTATTCCATGAATAAATAACTCCCCCTCCCAAATTATAGCATGTCCTTCCTAGGAGCATTCTCATTTTAACTAACACACAAGGGGCTTCCAAAATTCATGGAAAATGAAATTTAAAGATGATGAAATTTTCAGCAAACATTTGACGTTCCCTTGTACATACACTAAGTTGTTTGTGACAAGTCAGATTGAGTTTCTCATCAAAGAACTGAAGAAAATGAGAGGAAATTTGAGCAAATCGGGACACAGTAAAGTCACTAACATTGATTGTATTCAATGAAGTTTGATTTAAAATTTTCACTTGGAAAAAGAGATCCTCTGGTTTAAAGAAGAGGAAAAGACAGATTATACTCACTGTAAGAGCATTTACTCACGCACATAGACAATAGCTAACACTAATGAGATCATGGTGTTGGTTATGTGCCGTGAAGTTGGTTCTGACCCAAAGCAACCCTGTACAGGATTTCCCAGGCTATCAATCTTTACAGAAGCAGAAAGCCTCATATTACTCCTGTGGAACAGCTGGTAGTTTTGAACTGCTGACCCTGAGGTTAGCAGCCGGATTCATAACCACTATGCTACTAGAGCTCCTTAATGAAATCATATGTTCCTGAATTTTATTCTAAATCATTTTCTACATTAAAGGCCCCAGATACTTCCCTGTTAATTATATAGTACATAATGCATAGTCACATAAGTATACATATCCCTAATAAGCCACATAGTTAAAACACAATACTAGAGAAAGATGCGGATGATAGGTGAAGGTAAAGTAGTTAATGGCTTGAAATAATGAAAATAGCAGTACAGTGGCCTCTCATTCAGGAACACTCAAGCAAATAGAAAAATACAGAATTATACAATTATAAAATGATGACAGAGGAGACTATTTAATATAAATCATTGATTATATATGATCTATATATTCTGATACCTACATTGTCGCTATACATACAAATTGTTTATGTCAGAAATACTGAATTGGGTATCAGCAGATAATACAATTAGAAAATCAAATATCTTCAATGAAAGCAAAAAAAGCTATAAAAATCATTTTTTTACTTGTAATGATGAAAGGCTGAAGAATATACACTGGTAAATGCTGATTTTTCAAAATTAGGGAAGATAAAACAACTCTATTTCACCAGCTTTGGAGTTCTAAGGAGAACACCAAATTATGTTGCCTATTTTGCTAACGTTGTTCATTATCTAATGATCATTTTTCAAAGCTATACTTTGTATAAAAGGAACAAAGTAAGCTGGAGAGAGATCCTGGTCTTAGACATATCAGAGTCATAGGATGCATACGAACTGACTGAAAAATCCTAATAATTTGCATTTATTTTGCCAACAAATATTGGTCTGATTTAGCAGATGATATTGAAATATTCTCAATATGGGTAAAATATGAAAATAATTTAACTTTTTACCTGTAATGAAACATCTGTCTTGACTCTCCCATGTACGTCTTAAAATGACATAGTGAGCAAAATTTATGGATTTTTTACACCCTTAGAGATTTCTTTAAGAATGTCAAGTAATTTGTTGAATATCCCCAAAGCATTAGAAAGCTTAACAAAATTCCTGGGGATTGTCTGTTAATTGTCCAAGGATAATTTGCATTCACTAGCAAGCAAAGTTTTCTTTATGTAGCATGTACATATGCTCATATTTATATATCTTATATACACTTAGATCTTAAAATTTATTAACTATCTATTTTTACCATGCAAAGAAGTGGAATAAAATACTTTTATCAAACAGGGCTATCAATAGTCCTCATTTCTACAGTGGTCCCTTCAAATTAATGATAAAATGAAGAAGTTCTTAATCACGATCTGATTACATTTCCAAAAAGACTTAAAAATGGGATAAAAGTAGTGCATTATGTGTATGTGAGCTATCACACTCTTTGTTGCTGATAGTGTTACTGTGAAGATTAGATTTGATTTCTTCCCTTTTGACTTTAGTGACAGAATTGCTACTCATTTGAGAGTAAATTGCCCCCATCCGTATATTTAAGTTTCTTACTTGCTTGTTTTACTTTTCTTTAAAATAGTTCAGTATTTTATATTTTTTTCATTCTGCCCAATACTCATTCTAAAACATCATTCTCATCTACAGACATATTATTCTGTACTCTTCATTGTCAGTCATTCAGAAGGCTCTATTTTTCTACTACCCACTAACTTTTAATCAGGGTGTTATTCAGTTTCCATGTATTTGATTTTTTTCCCCTTGATTTTCCTATTGTTGATTTCTAATTTTATATAACTGTGATCTTTAAAAGATGGTTTGTAATATTTTGACACATTAAAATTTATTGGGACTTTCTTTGTGGCCTAACACATGGTTTATTCTGGACAATGCTCCATATGCTTTGGAAAAGAATGTGTATTTTGCTGTTTGGGGGTTGAATGCTCTATACATATCTATGAGTTCCAGTTGATTGATTGTGTTACTTAGTTTCTCTGTGGTTTTGTTGAGTTTCTTTCTGATTTTTCTGTCCTTTTTTCAAAACCGGTGTATTTACATATCCCACTATTATTGTTGTTGTTGTCAGGTGCCATCGAGTCAGAACCGACTTATAGAAACCCCATGCACAGCAGAACGAAACAGTGTCCGATCCTGGGCCAACCTCACTACCGCTGCCACACTTGAGTCCATCAATGATGCCACCTGGCCAATCCATCTCGTTAGAGGTCTTCC